GTCTCTATGCTCTATGTCTCTATGTCTCTATGTCTCTATGCTCTATGTCTCTATGTCTCTATGTCTCTATGTCTCTATGTCTCTATGTCTCTATGTCTCTATGTCTCTATGTCTCTATGTCTCTATGTCTCTATGTCTCTATGTCTCTATGTCTCTATGTCTGTATTTCTCTATGTCTGTATTTCTCTATGTCTCTATGTCTCTCTCTCTCTCTCTCTCTCTCTCTCTTTGTGGCTCTATATCTCTCTCGCTCTCTCTCCCACGAAATCTTATTCCTCTTTCGATACATTTTCTACTTTGATCTCTATTCTATATCTTTTTATTTTTTTCTTTTAGTCTTTCACTTTCCAATATGATTTCTTTTACTTTTTATGCTCTGAGATTAGCTTGATTTCAGTATTATCTCTTCATTTAGTAATGTAAAATATATAGAGAGAGAGAAAGAGACAGATACTGGCATGTCTCAAGTGTATCTATCCCTTTCTAAATGCCCTGCTTAAGTACATATTTACTCTAGAAATCTTAGGACTTTTCTTTTATGTTTTCAATTCTTATATTTCCCTTGAGCTACTTGCAGTCGCTTTATCAGTTTTCAATAGGATGGAGTCGAAGGAGGCGCACAGAACGCGAAATGTGTCGCCGAAGTTGCTATTAGCGCTATAAAGGCAAATTATGAAGTCGTACTGTATGACCCCGCCCTAGCAATCGGGCACCTTTGCGGCGCCCTTTTGGCATTTTTCCGTTATGCTTTTTTCGCCTGCTTATCGCGCGCTTCTCTCGCTGCTCTAATTCGCCTTATATGGGCAAATGACACGAGGCACGTTCCTTTAGCTGGCTGGCAGGGCGTTTAGTCGACTGGGCGTGCCATTTTTCACGGGCCTTGTTATGCTTATCCTCATGGCTCATAATAGCTTTTCATTATTGTTATTATGCCGAGAGCTCCACTCGTGAAAATCTCCGTTACAACATTAACGAACGCATAAACAAAGCGCCCCAAAGACGCAGGACAACGGCACAAACGGCGAATAAAGAAATGCCAGGACTTAAGCTCTGCCAGTAGAAACAAAAAAAAAACAGAAACAGCAACAAAACATACAAACAAGCATCCTTAAGGACAGCAAATATTCAAATGAAGTCGCGCGATAAGCCGACTTCAAATCTGTGAAAAACTGACGCCCCCTCAGCTCCCAGTGGCGTTGTCCTTGTGCCGCTGCTCCTTGCGGCAGCCTGTGCCTGTGCCCGTGCAGTGGAATTTCTACGCGTCTTGTTGCCCCCTCGACGTCCCTTTGCTGCAGTCTGTGCGTGTCCTGTGCCGCTGGCTAGGACTAAGATGAGGAACTCTCTGCTCGCTTGTAATGGGGTGTGATTTGTACACTTTGTTGTTGTTGTTGTTGTTGTTGCTGTTGTTGCTATTGCTGTCTTTGCCTTTTTGGCCGCGCGAGCTGAAAGATTTTTTGGCCCATCCCTAACTAAGCCATAAAATTCCATTTTACAAACTGTGAATCCTTCATGATCACTTTAAGTGGTTCGCGCGTACTTTTTCTTCCTCTTCCTCTTCGACTTTTTCCCTTCCTCCGCCCCCGCGCGGCCAGTTGACGGCAATCATTGCCGGATACTTAAGCGGATTTGCATCTTTGTTTGGTATTCTTTCGCTCGCCCTTTTTTTGCTCTTGCCAGGACGAAGGACGAAGTCTTTGTCTTGTCTGTTGTCAAAAAAAAATAACTGCTTGGTTGCAAGTTGCGCGTTTACTTTTGGCGACGTCTTCATCAAAATAGACAATGTTGCCCAGGCGTCCTGCTTCGTCCTTTGTGCCGCCTGCTTGGGCTTTGTCATTTTTATGCGAGTTCTTCAAAACTTTGCGCCCAAATGGCGTTTACTTAACGTTTTGCTTTGGCCAGCCGCGGCCAATGCGATTTGTTATTAGGTTAAGTGCTTTGTCCTGATCCTCCATCAGCTGCCTCTGAGTTGCGGGCGTCGCAGGTACGAACCTGTTTTCGTATTGCCACTGCGAATTCAGAGCTATAAATAATTGGGGAAAATCGAATGCAATTGGAATATAGCAAATATAATAATAATAAAAAAAAAATTCAATAAAAACTTTTCGTCAAATTCATTTTCGACTTTAAATTTGCTGTCTCTCTCTCTCTCTCTCATGGCACTTCAATTTATTTTTTTAAAATATTTTCATCGATGCAATTGATGAGCCTCGCAAAGAACTCTCATCTTCTCTTTGATTAACTTTCTATGAGCCTGACTTTCTAACTCTCTCTGTGCCGTTCTCTATCTTTCGCTCTTTGGCCACATCATCATAATTTTAGAGTGAATCTTTGCTGGCATAGCAACTTCATCGAAATGGCCAGCAGCTGGCATAGCCAATGCATTGGCCCCTTCCATTGGCCCGTTCGCTTCAGAGAACAGTTTTGCCGGCAGTTAAACTTATCACTGACGGCGTCTGCTGCGAGCAAAAGAAGCGTTAGAGTAACAGTACATTAGGCTAATGACGCGGCGGAGAGAGAGAGAGAGAGAGAGTGAGAGAGCTGGGAAAAAGAAACTGCATGGCCATGATGTTGACGATGTTACGCAGCACATTTCATAATTCCCGCGCCATGATTAAGTGCCGGCCCCAAGGAGCGTGGAGCTGGGAGCTTAGAGTTTTTCTTTGGCAAAAGTTTTGCAAGTTGTTGCAGCGGCCCTCCCAAAATGGCGGTCGCATAATTAAGCAGCTGAGCGGCATGAGCCATGAGGCAGGTGGAAAACTAAAGGCGCACTGGTGCGGAAGTGTGAAAGTTGTAGCTTTCCGTCGCTCCCTCTCGCTGTCTCTCGCACTCTTTCTCTCTCTCGCTCTGTCTCTCTCTGTGCAAAACACTCATCTCACGACTAATAGCTGCAACTTCGCTCGTAAGATAAAAGTTTAACGTGCAAGCCTTGGGAATTACTATGAAAACCTCGGAAATGGAACTGTCTCTCGGCACGCTTTACAAGTCTTAGGTTCGTGAGAAATATGTCTTTCCCTCTATGTCTCTATCTCTCTCTATATATCTCTGTCTATGTCTCCTCTCTCTATGTCTCTCACCTCTCTCTATATATATATATATATATGCCTCGCTCTGTCTTACTCTCTGTTACTCTCTCTCTCTCTGGCTTACTCTCTCCCTCTCTGTCTCTTTCTCTCTCTATGTATCTATTCTCTCTATACTTGTCTCTCTCCTTCTCAGTATCTCTCACTATATGTAGTCTTCTCTCTCTCTCCCCTCTGTTTCTTTCTCTCTCTATGTATTTATATATATATCTCACTTTCTACTTGCTTATCTCTCTTTCTCTATGTCTCTCTCTGTCTCTCTCTCTATCTCCCTATCTCTCTATCTCTCTATCTCTATATCTCTCTATCTCTATCTCTCTCTATCTCAATCTCTCCCTATGTCTCTCTCACTCTCTCTGTCTATGCCTCTCTCCATGTCTTTCTCTGTCTCATTCTCTCATTTCTTTCTTTCTATCTCTCTCCTCCTCGCTACCTTTCTCCCTTTATGGATTATCATATCTAGTAAGTGAGTTCAATGGGAAATCTAGAACAAAGTCCATTTAGATGCATTCCATTCTGCAGGCTCGTGAGCAACGAGTTTATGTTCATTGGCTGTGCGTTGCGCACTTTGAAATTCAAAGGGAAATGCAAAATCCAAGTCCAGATCCGAATCGAAATCAAAACTAATGAAGTGAAAACGGCACTAAAATGTCTTAATATGTTGGCAGCGCAAGCGGGCAACCTGCAAAATGGTTAAACGGCTGCCACAAGGACATGCCTGGCACATAATATCCTTGTTGATTTCTATTCAGGCGATTTACTGGCTATGCATACGCACACGTTGTTGTTGCTATTCTTGGCTGCCTTTGTGCTTGCTTATGCGTTGCTTATCTCAATGCGGGGATCGACAGCAGCAGCAGGAGTTTTAGTCCTGCTATTCCCCCTACTGACGCATGCTGATCGATAAATTTTCCATTAAAGTTATTTTTAAATGCCGCAAAAAAAAGAAGAGAAATAAAAACACAAGACAGGACGAACGTGTGCCAGCCTGCGCCAGGATAATGTACTCGTTATGCCCGATAAAGTTATAAACTCGTATTCGTATGTGCCAGCAGCGAGGGTTGTCCTTGTGCTCTGCCGCGCTGCCGCTCTGCCTATCGAATTGATTTACTGCCTGCCAAATTTCCAAGCACACACATTGCTAATAGATGTTGCTGTGTGTGGTTGGGTGGTTGCGTGGGTGTTAGTTAACGCAGCGGTTTCTGAAAAGCTCAACATATTTTTAAATCATTGCACATTTTATTGAATTGCATATTTAAGAAATATCATTTATTTACAATTTATCTTAAAGTATTTCCATTATTTAATAAATGATTTTTGATTTTAGCAGAATTTCTCTTGCACTGAATACACATTGTCCATGCAGTCCAATTATATTAGGCATCTCTTTCTCTCTCTCTCTCTCTCTCTTTGGCACACCCACACACCTATCATATTTGTGGCTTGCGGCTGGTGAATTCCTTTGGCTTTGGCTTTGCGTAAAGTTATCTGATTGAGTGCGAACTGCCAATGGTCTCAACACTCGCCGCCAGGACATTGCCAGGATGCTTCGCCCACTCCATTTGCCTGTGCTTGTGTGTGTGTTTTTTGTGCGATGATCTAAAACGGAAATCCTGTGGGCAGATAACTGCCATGCATTAAGGCAAGCTACCAGGCCCCATTAAACCCGTGTGTGTCTATCTGTGTGTGTTTTTTGCTTCTGCTATTTAGATACAAACGGCAGACATTCAACCCAAGTCCCTGCCCGCCCAGACTTCAAAAACGTAAACCTCAGCGGCAGCAGCGTTGTCCTTGTTGTGTTTTTTACTGCCTGCCTGACGCTCTTGTTGGTTATTGAATTAGCCCAATAAACCAGAAAAACAAGACAACACATGCACACACACACAGAGACATTTATCGAAGCCATCGCATACCACATAAGCGCTATTTGCCCATCCCCTGCCCCCTGCCACACGTTGGGCTCAAGCAGAGGCGTCAAAATAACAGAGAAGGAAAACATTTCAGCACTCGCATTTCAGCAACGACCAACGGCTGCCAGGCAACTCATTAGAATGTTGGCTTCCACTGGGCGCTAATAGCCCCAGTTGCCCAACACCTCCTGCCTAGCATAATTGGTGGTATTGGCAGTGCGCCGGGGGTTGAGCGCTATTTGCGTTTTGTCATTTGTTGACGACCAAATTCAATGAGTGTGTGTACAGCACACACATGCACACTCTCTGTGTGTGGGTGTGTGAGCTTGCTACACCTGTGCATCAGATCAAAGCAACAGTGCTAAGGTTTCATTATCAGTTGACAGCTACAAGCAGGAGGAAAAGGAGGAGGCTGCACACTGAAAGAAAAACTCTGGAATTGACATAATTAATGCGTGCTGCTGTGGGTATGAGTAGGTAAGCATTGACCAACTGATTGATACCCTGTAAGCCCTGTAAGAGACCATTGTCTCTGTTCAGTCTGAGCTGCTTTCCGGCAGCCTTCGACTCAGTTCGTAGCACTAAAATAGCCGAAGGTTCGAGGACTTTTCGATCATTGTTGGTTTATTTATGAGCCTTGGCGCCCTCTTTTAGGACTCTATTCGGGCTCATATTGTTTTGCTTCATGCCGGATATTGTTGATTGTTTTAGGGCAGCTGCCTTTTTGGCTGCGGACGGCAGTCGCAAGTGAGTGCTCGATACGTAGCGCGGCTTATTAACTTCTAGGTGCTGCAACTGGGTCGTATCAAAGTGGACAGCCTGCACAGTAAGGGAATTGAGCGAGAAATGGAGTTAGTTTGGCGGTTTCTTGTTGGACTTACGAGTTTCTTATTAAGTTTCTTTGTCCGAGCAGTTTTCCTTATGCTTCGGCTGCAGCAGGCTTGGTCGCTGCTCGTTCCGGTCTCTGTACTCGGATCGCCGTTTGTCGCATTGCCTAACTCGAAGGAAAAATAGAAAAATTTCCATTTCATATGCACTCACTCACGCACTCTCCGTTTTGAGTCTGGTAAAGTTCAGGTTTTTGACCAGCTCGAAGAACTGTTGCCACGTCTGTGCCATATTGCGCAGAGTAAACGAGGCCTCACTGACTTTCAGTGGTTGCCCTGCATAATTTATGACTCGTCCCAAAGATGAAACCGGGAGAAAGACAAAAGCACTAATGCCCAATGTACATGAAGGCAAAACCAAACAATTTTAAGTTGAAATCTTGTTTGACAAATGTAAAAAAAAGTTGAAACAAACAACAGTTGACTTCAATCCCTCAGCTACTCTTTCAACTTGTGTTTATTGAAGCAAAATTCGTTTTGAGAATGGCATAGAACGGCTGGCAGAGTCTCACTGTCTAACTGCCTTCCTTTAGCTGCTCTCTCTTCCATAAAGCTAGTCTCTCAGTAGAGGTCTTAGAGAAATACTTGAAAAGCGCATAGAAAGGCATGCCTACCGATAGAGCATTTGAGCTGCGGCTTCGGCAATCGAGTCGCCTCTGATTTGTTGACTCTGTGCAACAAGTAAGCGCCGTCTGCCTCTGCCGCGGACGTTGGGAGCGTCCGTGCGTTGCGGAAGTAATTTTTATTTCGCCAGACAATTTGCTTATTTTGTGATTTCCGTTCGCCTACCCCAAGCTGGCCAAATATTTCCGGCCCTTGGCTTGCCCTCTGTCTGACCGTTTTTTGTTTTTCTTTCTCTCTCTCCCGCTCTCTGCTGGGCTCATCTAAATTCTGTTTTTGCTCTTAAATCCTTTGGGCGCATTTGGCAGTGTCACATATACATATATCTATATATATATTTATAAATTAATTTTTATGCAAAAAACAGAAGAAATAAAGTAAATTTATAAAAAAATTATGCGTGGTGCCTGCAACAGCTGTTCATGTTGTTGCTGCCGTCCTGCCAGACGAATATTTACATTATGCGAACGTGTACGTTTGACTGGCACTGTATACCAGGCGGCAGGCGGCATGAGGCATGGGGCATGGGGCATGGGGCATGTCAAACAAAAATATGACCATTACGCTTCATTTGGTCAACAACAGCAATGAGAATCATAAATAGCCGCAGTGTTGTTGTTGTTGTTGTTGTTATCCGAAGTCATTTAACAATAATCGCGCGCATATGAAATGGACCATGGTCCATTCACGTGACATCGTCGACGTCGACGATGACGATGACGATGACGCTGCAGCCGACAGTCGACAGCCGACAGCCGACAGCCCCAGCCCCATTGGCAGACACTCCCATCGATGCCGACACGACCTATCCGGGCATGCGATACATGGCCGGATGTGTAGCCATTGTTGGGCACTCATAAATTGCAAATGGCCAAATACCGTTTAATGGTCACTGGCCACAACAACAGCGAAATGCAAAATATCGGAGGGTAGCGTCCCAAAGAGTTCCATTCACACTTCGATGGCACATGCCAGTCACAATTTGCGAGCAGCCACAATGTGTGTTTTAATTTCGCTTGGGAAAATGATAGTTCCTAAGGGAAATTCGATACGAATTTCTCATTTATCACCTAAAACTGAAATTTTCTGAATTTTCTTCACTTTGGGAAATTTTACTTTTCAAGGGAAATTCAATGCGAATTTCCCTTGTGTCATTTAAGGCAATATTCCTTTTAATTTCATTTCGAATATTTTGGGAGGTCTCCAAGAAGCAGACGTTGAGACCAATCGCATATCTCAAATTAGAATCTATATTTGTCTTTCAATGTCTGTCTGGCAGGGCATTCGAGGTGCGGTCTGAGTAAGTTGAGCACACTTGTTGTTGGCTATTTGCTTGCGACGCTTGATGCGGCAGCCGTTATTTTTATTGCCTGGCCGCTGGCAGGATCTGAGTGCTGGCCACTGTTCGTTGGCCACTGTCACACATGGCCGGAAATCGGCTCGGACACTGCATGAGGCCAAACATTTGCATAAAATGCCAGCGCTGAGCCGCATCGGCCACTGCGGCTGCCAATGAAGCTGGCCCAGAGCGAAGGACCCATAGGCAGCAGCAGCAGCAGCATCAGCAATTGCCCGGCCGTGGACGTCGCGTCGTCCTCGGCGAGCCGCTTTCGATTTTCGATTTTTCTCACTGATTTTACACATTTTTCAGTGTCGGACATTTGGATCTCTTTTGCCCACGTTTTGTTTCTTTATTTTGCTGCAGTCGGGCCGCAGCGCATGTTGTTTATGTGTTTATAGATTAATCGCTTTTTGGTTAAATGACTTCGATAGTCGACATCGCTGCTGGGCTGTGATCCCACACTGCCGTGGCCCCAACTTTTGTGCACATGTGAATGAGACGCTTTAAAGTTGCCGCATTTTGTTGCAAATTGCTGGCGACAGCTGTGAAAAGGTCTGCGACATGCAAAGCAGAGCAGGAGCTCTGAAGCTGAGCTAATGCCGGGAAGGCTGTACATAGAAATATATATAAATATATATATAGATTATATTATTTATTGGGTTAGACTAGGTAAGATATATACTCTTAAAGCATTATGGGTCTTAGGTAAAGAAGCTCTAAACTAAAGCCTCGTTTATCAACTAAACCATGGATTTTTGTATATTTATATTTAAAATATGTATTTTTCCTTTATAAGCAATTTATATACATAAAAATGTATATATATAAATTAAATGTCATATTATATTTTTTCATATTATAATTAAAATATTTATGTTACATGTCTTTTATATCTTCTCTAGCTTCTAAATTTGCATCAATATTTTTAAATATAAAATATATTTAAAATATTAAATGTAAAGTATGTATAAAAATAATAATAACAAATAATAATTGTATAAATATTTATATCTATATATAGTCTCCTCCAAAAATATAGCCAGCCAGAGCTGGCTTTGCTTGCATATTCTACAGCTCGCCACAAGACTTCGGGTATCTGCTAGTCGGCTACTCCCGCGCAGAGCAGTTTTAACTTATTAAAACTTGCAATCTTCACACGTTAGTCTTAAGTGAAAGCTCTAGGAGTTTGTTTAAAATAATATCATATGATAGTTATTTTAAGCCTTACACATATATAATACCATTTTAGAAAATTTGAAACACTTTGAAATATATATGAAAGTAGTTTATGAACTATGGGCTTCTCCTTAATATTTTATATATACGTATGTATAATGGCCATTGCTGTTCAAGGTATTCCTCTAGACTCATTTTGTTTTTGCATTTGCAGCTTCGTTATCGCTTGATTATGCCACACATGAAGCTCAGCTGTCTCTCTGCCTCTCTGGCGCTCTTGGTGTCTCTGCCTCTTAAGTTGGCTGTCCTGGTTTTGGCATTAACAAAAATGTTAAATACGTTTTTACAATTCTAATTATGCAGCCACGTCTACCGCCAAATTACAACAAATGGCAACAGCAGCGGCAGCAGCAACAACAGCTTAAACTCGGGCTGGCACTTGGCATAATTAAGAGTGTGTCTCTCGCCCTCTAACTATGTGTGTGTGCTGAGATTGTCGCTCTTAACATGCATAAAAAATAAGCGACGGCGACGGCGACAGCGACGGCATTTTAAAAGTTTTACAAATTAAGACATGCGACGAGCGGGTGGGGCGAATGACGCAATGGGGTGAAGGGAGCTGGAAGGGGTTGGGGCTTTACCACTGCCAATGACTATTTCCGCCTTCAGTCCCCATCCAGTTGGCACTCGCTGAAACACTTGCTGAGCTCATGTTAATCAGGTTATGATAATTATTTGTAACAAATTGTGAGGAACTGGGCGAGTCGAGGGCTGTCAACGAGGCGGGGTGCGGGGGCGGCCGAGGCTTTGCAATTAAAATGTGTAAAATCTACGACGCGACAGTGGAAAACTTTATGAAAATGACAAGGCGCAAGCGACATTTTCATTAAAACAATTAAAATTTAAACTGGCGTTAAATTATACAGGCATTAAACGGGCAATGGAGCGAGGCGGAGTTCACAAAGACAACGCCCGTCGATAAGGGCGGTTCCTAAGTGCTGGCAACTTTAACATTTCCGCTCGCAGCTCGGCAGAGTTGCCCTCAATTATTCAGCAGCAGCGAAAGGAACTAAAGCCGAAAGCAGTTTCTCTAATAGAAACAGATACACAAATGCCAAATGGAAATGGAGATGGAGATGGAAATGGAAAACTTTGTTCGCTGCGTGTCACTTAGCCAGTTTGTCACTTGGTCTTAGTTTCAGTCTAAAAAAGGGGCGCGCACATGGCCAAAAATGAACTGACAACTTGATAAACTATCGCTGGCTTGGCCAGACTCAGTCAAAGGCAACCAAACCGCAGCCCAAGCCAAAAGCCAGCCAAAGAACTTGACTCGCTCCAAATAGTTCTTCACGCTCACACATCATAGCAGCTGGAGGGGGGTGGGGCAGGGCGTGGTTGCTATTTTACTGGCAGGTGCACGATAAAAGTTTTGAGTTGACAATTAAGAAATTAAGTTCCCACTTAGGCAACTGTCAGTGTCTTCTGTTTGACAGCAGTCACAGATATATCCACGCACTCAACCAGACTTCTCTGCACTGAAGGCTACGTTGACTTTGTTACTAACTATGGCGCTAGAGTCTAGCTAGCAGAGTGAGTTAGTATGAAAGGCTTCACTAACTTAACATCAGGCTAAAGCTCTTGTCAGCTTACTTTGTCGCTTATTTAGAGAGTATTTCATATTCGCTCTGCTTAATTGTTTTGCTCAAGTTTTTGCCTTTCTTATTTGTTGGCGGTTTGTTTGCATTATCAACAGACTAACACCTTGGGAGTGTGTGTGTGTGTGTGTGTGTGTGTGTTAACTGATAGCTGCTCTTAGCAATAACTGCCACTCATAATTAAATCAAATGTTTGCCTGTCTCTCACTTGACTCTCCTGCCCCCCGCTCTTTGTGGAGCGCAAAAGTTTTTGCGTGAAGCTTAAACATTAATTTCCTACATGTTGCAGCTGCCAGCCTTTCAGCCTTCCAGCCACACAGCCTCCCAGCCATTATCTACATGAGCATATTCACCTATCGCATTTACTTTATCATTGGCAAAAGGTAAATACACTTGGTAAAGTTTCTATTCCCTGGGGTGTAGCTCTTCATCTGCCCCATATTGCCCCGCCCTCGGCCCCATCGCCCACTAACAGCTCATTCATAGTTTACTCTAATGAGCGGCTGTGTGGCAAACGTATCATTTTTGGCTCTAAATTTTTTGCATGTTGCGGCTGACGTCTCGACTCCCATATGCCCTTGTGCCCATATGCTCGCTATAGTTATACCGTTATAGC